CAGTCTATAGTAGGCATGCGTGAGAAATTGATCTTCAAAATCAGTATTATGAAAAAAATTATGATCTGTACAAGCATATAATCCAATAAACCATATACTTATATATATACATACGTTTTGCTATTATACTAATTCTAATTGCTAGATAATACAGATACAAGTTATTAATATATTATATTCATATTTACAACTTAATAAAATTAGATTTTAGCCAGACAAGTACTGATATAGTGTCCGTTTGCAGAGAGTGTATCATCTTACCCCATGTTCAATTAATTCAAACTCAGAAGGATCTCTTCTGATTGAATTATTTGTTTTGTGATTAGAGGCATCAGGAGGTCTTCCTCTAGTACAAACAACTTGAGGATTCTGCAAGACTGTTGTTGAGGTATTAATAATACTGTTTAATTTTTTCTGAATAGTTGCTTGCTAGTATTTCGGCCACTCTTCATATCTTTCTTGTAGAGCTTGCAAAAAAGGTAGTAATTTGTTGTTTTTCTCAACAGGTAGTATTGGTGAGCAGATTTGAATTTACCAATATTCATAAAAATCATTAAGCATTAAACCTTGATGATTTTCAAGAAGTTAGATTTTATAAACACATGGTAGCCCTATTGTGCTTGAGAAAGAATCAGTACATGGTGGTAAAGGTTCTTGTATAATTCTCTGATACTGCTTTTCTACCTTTTTAAAAGCAAAAGTTAAAATTTTGCCCTTAATATTTTCATATAAGAAATTTTTTTGTGCAAAAATCAGAAAACAAATTTTTTCTGATGCTACCATAGTACCTATTTCTTTTTTTGATTCTCTACTGTCAGAGAAATTTTTATACAGACATCACAAAGATCTCACGCTAATATACAAAAATATGTTTTAATAGTTGCATATACACTTTCAACCCGAGAAGTAATAGTTGTTCCTAAATGAAGAAGTTTATTTGTCTATGTTTTTATATATTTTTTTTTCTAAAGCATCCAAGTTTCTTCAAGATAGTTTACAACATTGAGTTTGTTTGTATAATTATTATAAAACTCATTCCATTTTGTATTGAATTCTTCTTCCGTTAGTGATTGAACGATATTATTCTATTTTGAAAAAAAGGCTTGCCATTCATTATCTCCGAATTGTGATTTACAGTTCTTCATTATATTTTTATTAATATGCTACAAATATAACAAATTAGTCAAATTCAGAAAGATTATTCAGAGAGCGTTCATAAGAGCTAGCTCTCTATCCGTTACTATGATACCTGGCTATGCTATACTATCGAACAATCGAGCAATGCAAGTTAGTGCCCAGAAATAATTCTCCTCTTCTTCATCTTTCATAAAGATGAAACACGAAAAAAAAGTAGTATTGAAACAGGTTATTCCAAAAACATTTAACAGAGATATTTTATATTTATTCGTCTTATAAGTACAATCCATAAGAAGAACAGACAAATATCGACGAGTAAACTTAATTGATTCTTTATGTACAAAGAAAAGGTAGGTAATTTAACCAATATTATTACATTTGTATTCATATATGTAATCACCCTTTTTAAGCTTATCGATTAATGCTTTAACAGGAGAATGACTTGCTAAATTTTGTTGGTGAGTCATTCACGTGTATTATAAATGTCTTTACTTATCACAAATGCTGATAGATCATTTTGACAGATAGCTAATATTATTTCTCTAAAGCATGAGCCAAAGATAGTCATTTCTGTAACATTATCCAGTTGTTGCTTTGTGAGTCGACGAACTATTAGATGTCCTGATATGTCTTCAGAGAGATTATGGTTATGATCACAATTACGAACCTTCTTTATGTACCATTTACCATTATACCAAGCAAACTTTAATTCAAAAGAACAATTGATTGACTGAGTGCTTGTTTGCTTTTGTTGTATTTCTGAGCTATTATAAACTCCACCTTGATCACAATGCAATGTTATACTTTTTAAGTTATCACACCAATTCTTATATGATTTTGTTTAACCAACACGTAACCTTGAGAATTGGCGAATGCTTGAATATTTTTGAGAAGTTCATTAGCACTTTGATATGTTGCAGGAGGAGGTGGTAGCATATTTGTAGATATAATTTTCTTTAAAGGAAAACAGAGAAGTGGTTTATTTTTTGGGCAATATTTTTTTCAAATTTTAATAAAAAGTACTTACTGCATTTACTTATTCTTTTTGTAGTTACAAATACTACTATTACTTCATTTTTACATATCATATAATGATGTTTACTATTACTCATCACAAATTGATTCTTTACTGATCAATATATTACTGAATATATTATTGATTAATATCAATGCATATTAGTGCAGTTAAGAAAAATAAAGCTTTGGCTTTCAAGTTTATTGTTTGTTAGTTATCTAATTTAGCTTATAAAAACTTTATTATATATGTTACTAGTAGAGCTGAATCTAGTAAAAATTAATGATAAAATTAAAAACCCAGAAGTCTTATTTTTTTTTATAGTATTCATATAGGATATAACTGATGATAGTTGATGGGAGAGCTTATGTAAATGATATAGGATAAGAGCAAATTTAACTCCAATAGTATACGGAGAGATGATAATAAATTGAAATAAGCAAAGAGGGTCTTTTATAACTAACAGAGGCTAGTTGGACAATAAGACGCTATACTTTAATATCACTAGTAGATGATTAGGGTGATACAACTACAAGCGATGCTATTAAGGGTGATGATAAAGTAGTTATCTTAAGGACTGTGATGGATTATCAGAGTCGAATAACCAATCATATAATGATAATTGCTTTGAAGCTATATTAATTAATTAGTTATTTTTGTTATTCATTTCAGGATGCAAAATTTT